AACCTCCCCCAACCCCTCCTCCCCCTCCCCCTCCCCCTCCCCCAGGAGGCAGCGAAGCTACAGGAATCCACTTTGGGGCGATGCTTTGCCTGGGTCAAGAGGTCTCCAGGGGACAAAGCGGACTGGCCAAATTGAAATCCTCCAAGGACCCGTCATTTAGCTGTAACCACACAGCAAACAGTGCGGGGAGCGCAGGGACAGGCAGGGAGGGGAAGTGGATCCCCTCGTTTCTTCCCAGCACCCATCCCCGCAGGCCTTTCCTCCTCCTCTATCTGCCAAAGCAGCCCAGTGGGAAACCACTCTGAAGCAGAAGGAACGGACCGGGGATCTGTAGGAGGTCAGTGTGGACTCCATACCCCACCACCACCTTCAAAAGCCTCCTGGAATCATGCAGAACCAGGTGCTGACCATGAAGTCAAACACTCGGAAGAAAAGGGGCATCGCACCCTCCAAAAGTTTATACTTTTCAGCCTCCTCCCCTCCCCAGTTTAATGAACTTGAATAAATGTGCGGCATAGCCGCATCTAGAGTGAGAAGTCATTGGAAGGTCAGGACAGCAACGTAAAAGCTTATTTCAAAGATGTTCTTTAAAATATTGATTTGCTTTTTCTTGAAGCTTAGTTTTTCCCCTAGTCTGTGTTGCAACATTTAACTCTTAAGCTGTGGATAGGAACTCTAACCTTGGCCTTTTTAGCGCAAAAGTAACTCAGTAGAAGTAAAATAGAGGGGGGAGGGGGAGTGGCACAACAATGGTTTGCAGGGGTGAGGGGGAGGGGGGAGGACAGCAAGCGCCCACTAAGCTGTTGGGCACTGACCCCGCCCGCAGAGAAGGCCTTCTTGGCCGCTGTGCCTTCAGGCCCGCGGGTTGAATTTGTAACTTTTATTGATTTCCACCTGACGTTTGCATCACACCGTGTTCTGAGGCCTAGGTAAAAAGCAACCCCAGTCTCACCTGGGCCTTTCACGGGGGTTGTTGAGTTTGAGGAAGATGATTGGGAGGGGGCGTCCAAGGACAACCACCTTTGGAAGGCCCATCCCAAGAAAGGAATCCACGAGGGGGGTTCTCCTGGAACTGGACTGGGCCCGGGCTGCCTTTTCTTTAGGATCAAGTACAATCTGTACGCGGCTGGTGCAGCCCCGGTCACTCAGAAGGCAGATAGATAGCACAGATGGTCGGAGGTGTCGGGTCAGATCACGCTACGCCTGAGTGCAGGGCAAAGCGCGTTCTGACGGGAAACCCTGATATTATTTTCACAGATCTTCACAGTTCACTCGCAAAAAATAGCAGAGGGGAAGAAAAAGGCCCTGCAGCCATTTACATCATTTCTGTGAGATTGCCCGCCGCCTCAACAGAGAGGCTTTCTTTTCTACAGAGCTCATTTTCTTGAAATGCGACAGGGCAGGGGCAGAGAGATGAGGGTAACGACAAAGCACAGACCTTCTCTGGCTTAGGGTGACTTCCAAATCCGCAGGAAGGACAACTGTAGTGAGAAACATCACACACAAAGGCCCACAACACGCAATGCAGAACACCAAGCGGGCCTTAGGGAGAAGGGAGACCACGGGAGGGCTGCGTGCGTGGCACTTCTGGCCAAGGATGGAAAGCATCCCCTGCCCCTGTTTACATAGGTTTCTCCGTTCCCTCCTCGGGGTGTCTCCCCTGCCCACGTTCTCCCCAGCAGAATCGCTTCCCACCCGTGCGCAGAAGCCGCCGGGGGTCTCGGGACCTGACAGGCCCAGAGCCCAGAGCAGCTGCCGTTGGAGGCGATGAGTTGCGGTGCTCCGGGGGACCGAGCCTCCTGGACCCCTTTTCTGCGCAGTTGGAAAGCGGCGAATTGCTTCCGACCCCTAGTCTTTGTGAGCAAGTCGTGTTAAGGTTCCGAGTCCAGGTGCCATAACCAGGAAATGGGAACACGTATCCCACCTCTTGGTCAATAGTTATGCAAATAGTCAATTAGAGGACGCTTTGGCTTAAGCGTGTCCGGGCTCTCGGACGCCTGGGAGCCGAAGCGAGGGCTGGCTGCGCTGGAGCCACCGGAGCAGGGCGCAGGCTTCGCGGGCGGCCGAGCCCGCGTCCCAGCACGTCCCCACCGACGCGGTGTCTGGGCGCGGGGCGGACGGGGTCTGAGAAGTGTCTGGAGGCTTCAGGAAATTCTACCTTCACCATCGCGGGGGGACTTGGTTTAATTTTGTTAACTCAAAGGAAATAAACTGCACCCTCCCCGCCCCCCGCACCGTAGGGGGAAAAGGACAAACAGAAGAAATACGTTGGGCTCCCCATCCCCGGAAATGAGACAAAGCTCCGGTGGGTTCCTTAGAAATAATCTTATTGTGGAGGAGGCAGTGACCCACACCCACCTCTAAAATGCACTTCTCTCGGTTTCCAGGCAAAAGCTGGACCTGCGGGTTGGCTTCTCTTAGTTCCACAGCAGGCTAGATTGTTACCAATTTTGGAACTTTGCGCGGGACTCGCCACGCCCCGCCTCCACTCCAGTTTTCTTTTGCGCTTGTGACCAGGAAATTTAGAAAGAGCAGCGCCAGCCCCTGGGCTCGGACCTGTTTGTGCAGCTCTGCAACTTTCTGCTGTTGTTTGCAACTCCTTGGTTTGGGAGTCTTGGTCGAATATTCGATTCTCACTGGGAATCCATAGACGCCTATTCTGCTTTCTGCAGATTCAGCTTTACTTTATGGGGAAAATATGGAGAGAGAAAAAACACACACAAAAAACAACCATGTAGAAGACATTGCCCCCGGGGCAGATTCTATGTCTGTCTAGCTGTTCAGTATGGAGGCAGCAGGGCGAAAGGCCTCCGGGTTCCTCCTAGCGATCTTCAGAGTTCAGCCTGGGACTGACCTCTCGCACACCTCATTTTGCCCCTCCTGATTTTCCTCTCAGGTGCAGAGGGGCCCGTGCAGTCCTGGTTATACTCTGCCCAACAATTCGCCAAGGGAGAGCACTGCTTAGACGTCAATACACTCTCTCCAATCTCTTGTCTTGTTTGCTCTTGTTTCTTGTCTTATCTTTTATTGGACTCTTCCTAAATCAAACGCCTGTGATATAAATGATGTCTTTGTTTTATGTCCTACACAATTTTGTAGTCAGGGATTTTAAGAATGTAGCCATTGAAGATATCTGAATTCCTTGATAAAGACATCTATCTGTGCTGTATGTGAGAGTCAGACTGGAAGGACAGTGAGAGCCCAGCCTTCTGTGTATGACCATTTTTATTTATTTATTTTTTTGGGGGGGATCTTGAATGCCCTCTTCAAAGCTGTATGTTGCCAGTGGGTGAGAATAATGTAAATAAAAAGTCTAGAAAATTACTGTCTTTAGAATTATAGTATTAAAATTTCACACTCTCAAGTATTTACTAATGAATTTAGGATTCTGATTTCAGAAGATATCATATGCATAAATATAGGTATGTTTGTGTATGTATTTGATGGTCTCGAGCTTCAGATTATGGAATTAATTCAATATCCTAGTTTTAAAGTACTAACTATCCTAATAAGCTCCCAAGGTAGACTGCTCTGTTTCATGCATTCGTCCCCTGCCAGTATGCACTTGGTCATGAAGAAGAGAGATGCCTCTTTATTGTGTACTTCTGAGAACAAACACCGCTGGGAAATGTTTTGTAGCTTGGCACTGTAAAATTAACTGACAAAAAGGTATTAAAATTAAAATATTGATCTAATTTGAAAAGATTAGAATATTTTTGTTGTTATTTGCAAAACCATTCACCAGCTATTTTTAAAATGATGCAAACTTGCTTATGTTAAGCCGAGGGAAATTTTCATAAGTTTAAATGTGGGAAAATGTACCATTTGAAAGTAACAATTAATTAGCACTAATGTGTTTTTTAAAAAATGTTAGGCTGACTATGCAGCTCTGTTTTGACCTCTTGTTCCTAGACATTTGATGAGAATTTGTATTTAAGCCAAAGAGTGTATTGCAAGTCATACTCCTTGTTTAAACTATGGTCTTGAATTCACTTTTCTCTCCCCCACTTCTGTGGGGTAAGCCTAAATTTTCATAGAGCTTGTTTAGGGATATGTATCAATCAGTGGGTTCTTGTGTGAGGGATTAATATTTAAAAATGTAACCAGTGTGTCACTTATAAACACTTTATTATTAGTAATGAAACATTAGTTGGATGACTGAAAGAATGATTAATTCATAGTATTCTGCTTGAACTTTATTTTTTCCACCAGCAGGTTATTTTTGACTATTTTCAAATCTAAGATCAAAGTATCTTTCTAAAATACACATAGAAACTTTAAAATTCAATGAAGTGAAAAATGTAAGTTTATTTATGTCCTCTGGATGAGCCAAACATTATCACATTAAGTTGTATGCATATCATATATAAGTATTAATTATGTGTTATATGCGTAGTAAGTAATAATTCCCTTCCAAGTACTGTAAAATCAAATAAAGGCATTAGCCTCCAATAAATATCTACGTTCTCTGAGTTGATCCATATGGTTAGCATGAACTACTTTAAAAATTGCATTACAAAAAATACATTTACATGGCATCTTACTTTTCAAAGCAGCAAATCTCACCACAATAAAGTTTGTTTCTAAGAACTTACTATAATTTTGTTTCTTAAAATTTGCTGTAAATACTTATAATGACTGAATACTTAAAAATTTAAAAATAT